CTCGAGGGACAGATGGTGGTAAATCCCCAGCCCAAAACACGTGTGCTCCCAGCAGGTCACAGCCCTGCTCCTGGCTGCCAACCTCCCAGGGCAGAGCATGTCCACACTGACCTCCCAGGGCAGAGCATGTCCACCCCGTCACCCTGGGGGGACACAGGGCTGTCCCCTTGGCAGGGGGGAGCCAGACCCCCCAGGAGGTGGCCTGATGGGCAGCAGAGCTCCCACCAGCCTGTGCAGGGCAGAGCAGGAGGCCTGGCAGGCAAGACAGTGGTCTGGGGGGACAGGACAGTGCTCTGGGGACAGGACAGTGGTCTGGGGGACAGGACAGTGCTCTGGGGGACAGGACAGTGCTCTGGAGACAGGACAGTGGTCTGGGGACAGGACAGTGGTCTGGGGGACAGGACAGTGGTCTGGGGGACAGGACAGTGGTCTGGGGACAGGACAGTGGTCTGGGGGACAGGACAGTGCTCTGGGGGACAGGACAGTGCTCTGGGGGACAGGACAGCTGAGGCTGCACCACAGAAGTGCTTCAGCAGCACTGCTGGGACACAGAGGTTTGGTCCTTGTCCCCATCCCTGCATGTTCACTTCCACCCTGGGCTGGACATGCAGGCACACAGGCAGCCCACGCTGCCAGCTGGCCCAAGCCTGTTTTATCCTGGTGGCTCTTAGCAGGAGCAGCTGACAGCTCCAGCAGTCCCTGGAAAGCAGAAGGGACAACCAACAGTGACACAGGAGGAGTGGGGTGGGAAGCCTGTAACCAGCCATATCAAACTGCACTCACAGCCCTGGCCATACCTGTGGCCTCTTAAATCCAGGTTTCTGTCCCAGACCCACCTCCACGAGGTCTGTTGTTCCCACTCTGGCTGCTTCCATCCCCTCTCTGAGCCAGCCAGCTCCTGGTCTTTCACAGGAACACTTAACTCTCAGACAGCTTTGGCTTTGCAGCACCCCAGCCTGATTCCCTGGGCTCTGTTCATCCTTGGCCACCCTCAGGGAGCCTGTGTGGGGCTCCAGCAGCAGCAGCAAGATGCCCGGGCACAGCCTGCACTGCTGGGACACTGCCCACGTGAGGACAGTCCCTGGAGCCTCCCAGCTGACTCCAGTGCAAATTCTGAGTGGAGAACCACTTCCCAGGCATCCCCTTTCCCTGACAGACCCACATCTCAGCTCTCCCCAAGCTCTTCTCCATCAGAGAAAGGGCAAGTCCCCCTTGCTTCCTGCCTCCCTCCCATATCCATCCTGGTTCCCATCAAAGCATCAGTGATCCCAGTCCTTCCTGCCCGGCTCCCCCACCTTTCCCTGAGCTCACAGTCAGCCCCACAGCCCACACAGCACCCCAGCCTGTCCCCACAGGACCCCAGTTCAGGGTGCACCTGGCTGAAGGGAGGAACGGAGCCTGGGGAGAGGAAGAGGAGGCTGAAGGCTTTGAAGCTTGACCTATTTCCCTGGGATGCAGTTGGGATTTATGTGCTCCATGTGAGGGCATCCCAAGGGACTTGGCACCACTGCTGCAGGGCTCTAGGGATGTGGTGCCTGCTGGTCTAGTGGGGAGGGTGTCCCCAGAGCCCCTTCACCATGGAGGGTCTGTCCCAACAAGGGGTGTCTGCAAACCTCACATCCTTCCCAACCAGAATGCAGACCCAGGCAGGGACAGTGTGGCTGGTCCAGCCCCAGAGCCCTTGGGGTCTGCAGAGCCCAGAGCTGCCCCTGCAGCCTCTCCCACCCCGGGAAAGGGTCTCCAGAGCAGGAATGAGGGGATGGCAGCAAGGAGAACAGGCTCTCTGGGAGGCACTGGGGATCCTGGGGGCTCCGCACGCTCCCCCCTGCAGTAACTCCAGCTCGAGTGGTGTGTAGTCATAGGAACATCACTTAACACAGTCACCTTGGAAACCACAGCTCCACGCTCTCCTGGAGCACGTGCAGGGCCCTGTGCACCCCAGGTGGGGTCCCTGATGCTGCACCACCAGTCAGCAGGTCACGCTGCCACACGGGGACAGGGACAGACCTCTCCTCGCCCACAGCACCACGGGAGCAGCTGGAAACCACCCCCAAGACCTGAGCAGGGAGTCAGACCCTTCCAGGGTCTCACAGACAGCCTGGATGGACTGTATCTCCTCCCGTCCCACAAGTCACTGAACAGCTTCTCACTCGGAGCCAGAGCATCACAACTCCCACACACACCCTCCCAGCCCATCAGCGCAGGAGAGGAGCATTCCTGGGTCAGACACACGTGAGGACAGAGCCAGGAGGAACAAAATCCTGGTGCCTGGACGGGCTGGTAGGGCACATCTGCTCCCCCATCTCCCCACACCACCCCAGGTATGCACAGCCCGGGAAGGTGGTACAGCCCAAGGACAAGTGAACCCAAGCACGAGGCTCCCACACCTCCCACCCTCATCCCAGCAAGCTCCTCTGCATTCCACAGCAGGCAGGGAGCCAGGGCAGCACAGCCAGGTAAGCACCCAGCCCTCAGTGTGTGGGCACTGCCACAGCCTGGGCTGGCCCAGCTGCCAGGACTGCCCTGCCCCTGATTCCATTCCTGCCCCACCGGATCCAGCTTGGGAAGAGCAGCACACGGGAAGAAGCAAGGAAGCTGAGGACCTCCAGGAATCACAAAATCCCCAAAGCAACCTGGACCACCCCCTCATCATCCCCACCGGCGGGGTCCTGTCCCCGTCCCCTCGCTCCGCCTCGGCCCTGCCAAGCACAGCCCCCGCATTTCCCAGCCCTCCCTGCCACAGCTCCGGGCCCAGCAGCAGAGCAGGACCCAGGGCTGCCAGTGCTGAGCCCAGGAGCGTGTTTCTCACCTGTTCCCAGGGATTCAGCGCTGCCCAGGCACAGACACTATCCAGAGCTGCTGTCGGGGTGGCTTCCACCCTGGAAAAACATCCTGCCTCCAGCAGAGCCCCAAGCTCCAGCCTGGGCACCCCGCTCAGCCTCCCCTGCTTAGCCCTTAGGTAAGAGGATAACGCCGCCTCCATCTGTTTGTCTGGGACTGAGACACTAATTATCCCTGGCATCTTCCCCTCCCTGCACCCCTGCCCGGCCTCCAGCCCGTCCCACCCTGCGGAGGCAGCACAGGGAAGAGCTGCTGCACCGGCTCAGGCTCCAGGCAGCCACGGGGAGCGGCTCAGCCACAGCCTCCCCGCATCCCACGGACCTGGGATCCTGCTGGAGCAGGCAAGGACAACCCTTCCCCTTCAGGACTAAGAACAAAGCCCCCCAGCAGGGATCGCCCAGCTCCCCTGATCCCAGAGGATCTGCTGTCCCGCTGCAGAACAAGGACCGGGCGGTCGCGCCGTGCAGTGTGACCCGCTGGCAGCCTTCAGAAATGCTCTGCTGCCCCAGCAATGAGACCTGGGCCCTGCAAGCCGTGGATGCGCTCTGGGACCAGGCAGGATTGATTTCACCCAGCACACGAGGCAGAGGAAGAACGGCTCGGATAAACGCCCGCATCTCAGACAGACACAGACACAGACACAGACACGCATTCCGCGGCTGCCCCTGCCCCGCATCGCCAGCCGGCGCTTCCAGACCTGGCACAGCCCTGCAGGGGAGCTCCCCTTGCAGCTCCCCAGCCCTGCAGCACCCGGCACAGCGCGGAGTGGCACAGGAACACGCGGCACGGCCCCCACGGCACGGCCCACGCGGCACATCCAGCCCCTGCCTGCCAACACACCGCGCGTCCCACGCGGCTCAGCCCCCGCACGGGCAGCCCCCGGCACCTGCAGCGCTCACACAGCGAGGTGCCAACACGTTGCAGGGGGCCTGGAATGAAGCCACGGGCTCTGGGAAGAGCCCTCCGGAGCCAAAGAAAGCACCCTCTGTTCCTGCGCATCAGCATTTCGCTGCCTTTGTTTCACCCTCTGGTTTCCAAGACTTCATCCTGAAGGCTCACACACACACACAGCTCGCTGTGCTCCACGGCTCAGCCCGCCCGGGGCACGGGGAGAAGGGGCTGGGTGAGGATGGGACCCCCTGAGCCCCACAGAGGTGTCCATCACTTCCCAGCTCATCCCCACCCCGGGCTGGGACACGGTATCAGCAGCAGGGAGTGGGATTGGCAGGTCACAGCCTGGGGAAGGGGGCAGGAGCTGAAGTCCCACTCCCCTCCGAGCCCCAACACTGGCTGCACGGGTGGGCAGCAGGTGGGATGTGCTCCAGCTGTGCACACCTGGAGTGGGAACAGCCCCAGCCAGACCCTCCGTTGGCAGGAGCCAGCAGGTGCTGTGCCAGGGAGGGGTTGGGGCCTTGTTGGGCACCACAAGCCCCTGTGGGGAGGGAAGGGAGGAGCCCAAAGGAGCACACGCAGGGGCCAGGGCATGGCAGGACTCGGGGCAGAGACTGGGACAGCCAAGTAAAAGAACACCCTATAGAGAGGGGACAGACCAGCCAGACCAAGGTGTTTGTCCTCTGCTGCCTCCCACCCCACGGGACATCCCTGTCCTACCCTTTTTCCCTGCAGTGCCTTGTGGCTCAACCTGCTTCATCACCACCACCAGCCACAGCAGTGCTGGGCATGGGCAGCTCTTCCAAAGGGTCCTCTGTCCCCAGGCAGGGCAGGAAAACACCCCATTGCACCCAAGCAGCCAGGGCTGGAAGAGGCAGCCACACCAGTGTGATGTCCAGGAGCCCTCCTGTCCTCCCAGACAGAGATCCTGCATCCCATGGGCCTGGGGAGACCAGTTCAGCCCAGTCCCCATGGAGACCTTTCCTGTGGTGCCTCCTCAGAGCGCATCACACAGCACTGACCTGCCCTGACTCACACCTGCTCCTGCATCGCCTGCACACCCCTGACACACCCTGTCCCCTCCAGCCTGAGCCCTGCCAGCCTCTGCCAGCCCTCCCAAGCCCCATTCCTGCTCTCAGCCACCCCTGAGCACCAAACTGGGCCCCAGACAGGCCCTCCCCATCCCAGGACAAGGCTGCAGGGCCCTCACCAGCCCATCTCTCCCACTCCTCCCATCAGGAGCTGAAGGCAGAAAGGGAAGGACTCACCTGAAATGACTGTCACGGGCAGGGGGTCACAGCACTCCCTCTTCATCAACCTGCAGATAAGAGAGAGCAAGGACAGGGTCAGTGCACCCCCAGGGACCTCGGGACAGCAGGGAGGCGTGGAACCTGCTGGGCTGGGAATGAGAGCATTCCCAGAGCACACCTGCTGCGGGACAGCAGGGACAGGGAAGGTCACCTATGGCACCAACACCTGCCAACCCACCACAGCAGCATGTCCCTGCCCTCCCTGCCCAAGGTGAAACCTGTGCCCAGGTCCTCCTGCCTGCACAAGCACATCCTTCTCCTGAGCATTCCTGTCCCCATGAGCCCATCCTTCTCCTGAGCATTCCTGTCCCCATGAGCCCACCTTTGTCCTGAGCATTCCTGCCCCATGAGCCCATCCTTCTCCTGAGCATTCCTGCCCCATGAGCCCATGAGCCCATCCTTCTCCTGAGCATTCCTGTCCCCATGAGCCCATCCTTCTCCTGAGCATTCCTGTCCCCATGAGCCCATCCTTCTCCTGAGCATTCCTGTCCCCATGAGCCCATCCTTCTCCTGAGCATTCCTGTCCCCATGAGCCCATCCTTCTCCTGAGCATTCCTGTCCCCATGAGCCCATGAGCCCATCCTTCTCCTGAGCATTCCTGTCCCCATGAGCCCACCTTTGTCCTGAGCATTCCTGCCCCATGAGCCCATCCTTCTCCTGAGCATTCCTGCCCCATGAGCCCATGAGCCCATCCTTCTCCTGAGCACTCCTGTCCCCATGAGCCTCCCTTTAGCACCAAGCATCCTGTCCCCATGAGCCCACCCTCATCCCAAGCCCTCCTGCCCACACAAGCCCTTCCTCACCCCCTGGTCGGGCACATCTGCTGCCCCCAAGCAGAGCCACAGGGGCTGTGCCCCTGGCCCAGGCAGGTGGGAGGGCTGGCAGCCCCCATCCCTGCCGGCCCCCATCACGGATCAGTGAGACCGTGTGCGAGGGAAATGCCTCTTCCAAGGGAATAGCTGGGGCAGGAAAGCCAGGGAAGATGGATGCAGCCATCCTGGGGCAGCAGGAAACCTGGTGTGCTTCTGCTGCCCTGGGTTAGTGGGGTCTGTGCACCTCTCCCACCCTGGATTAATGGGGGTCCTCCAGCACCTCTCCCACTCTGGATCAACGGGGTCCTCCAGCACCTTTTCCATCCTGAGTCAGTGGGATCCTCCAGCACCTTTCCCACCCTGGGTCAGTAGGTTCTCCCTGCACCTCTCCCACTGGGTCAGTGGGATCCTCCAGCACCTCTCCCACCCTGGATTAATGGAAGTGCTACAGCACCTCTCCCACTCTGGGTGGGCAGGGATCCTCCAGCACCTCTCCCACTCTGGGTGAGCAGGGATCCTCCAGCACCTCTCCCACCGCAGGGAGGGGGGTTGTCCAGCACCTCTCCCACCCTGTCTCATCCGCTCCCAGGCAGAGCCCTGGATGGGATGCAGCCCCCGAGCGGAGTCAGGCTCCAGCTGAGGCACCAGAAGTCCTAAGGGTCAGTTCCCACACAGGGTCAACCCTCTCATTCCCTCATTTGGCACAAGAAACAGCGCCCAGCTGAGCCCACCTCCAGCAGACGACACCGCGAGCGCCCCGGGGCTGAATTCAGGAACAGCTACGGGAAGGAGGAAAGTGCATCCATCATGCCTCTGCTCTCCTGCCTGCTGTAAACGGGCATGCTCTCTCTCCTCGCTTCTCATTAAAGATCCTTTCTGGGTGAGTGGCTGAAATGGCTGCTCCGTTGTAGGGAATTAAAAATGTATGACTTGGGATTTCTCGGAGCGCGGCTGTTGTGCCGCAGCTGGGGGGGGCTGGGGGGGAAAAGGGCCGTGGCAAGGGTCCCGTTTTTGCAGAGAGCTCTCAGTGCGCCCACGTGGCTGCCATCAGCCTTTAAACATTTCATAAGGTCTCCTCCATCCTCCCCCGGGGCAGAGGGATCACAGATGCACCTGGAAAACTCAGCCTTTTGTGTGGCTCTGTAAAACGACGCTGCCGAAGGTCCCAGGGGGGCCGGGGCAGGATGCTCCGGACACAGCTGCCACCACCCTGCTGACTCCTCTCCGGGGAAAAACCTCACAGGACACCTGTGCCTTGAAAACAGAGGAAACCGAGCACATCTGTTTATGTAGGGCCTCAACAAAACAGCCCGAGGCACGAGCGTGTCCCGCTCGGACACCGCGGGGAGCTGAGTCGCTCTCCCGGTCGGTAGCACTGGGAATATTCAGCAGGGCAGGAGGTGGGACAGGGGCTGTGCCTGCAGGGACATCAAACCTCCGTGAGCACAGCCCAGCAGGGCTTAGGGATGAGGGAAAACACCTATGGATGCACAGGCTGGACACCTACAGAGCCTCCCTCCCATCCACACACCACCCAAAATCCCTCGTTGAAGCACAGAGCGTGGCCTGAAGCCAGACACGGGACCAACCCCACCCCTAACGGGTGCAGGGCCGAGCACCAGGGCTCCCCATGGGAGCACAGATCCAGGGGGACTCCGGAACAGGGGGCAAGAACAACCAAAGAGCAAGAAAAACTGTCACGGGAAGAGAAAGGAAAGAGCAGAGATTGCTGCCTTAGAAGGAGGCAAATGAGAGGGGACAGAGATAAAAGGCTGTGACATCCTGAGCACTCTGCAGAGAGGAGATGATGCTTCTGCTCTTTTCATCTGGCAGCGTGAGGGGAACGGAAAATGTCGTGGGATCTCACACTAAGGAAGGGAAAGGAAATACTTCTCCACATCACCCTTAAGGAGATGGTGCAGCTCTCTGCCACAGGAAGCCCTGAGGGCCGGAAAGGTGTGAATTCCAAGGGTTTCTGTGGGTGAGGACACCAAAGGGTGGCTCTGAATGGCCCCAGAGTGACCCCAGCACCAGCAGCAGCCTCATGGGATGGCTCTTCCTCCTGGGTCTGTCTCCATCCCACCCTGACCCCCAGAGCAACACAACAACCTCCAGTGCTGGCCCATCTTTCCTGCCCTCAGGTGACAGGGACCCATTGGAATGTCAATGCACATCCAGCACTGTCAAAGGCATGGGAAGCAGCTCAGGAGATAAATTAAATGCTTATAACATGAGCATCTTCTCCCAACCCGGCTAACAGGCGAAGAAGATTTATGAGTTTATTATTGGACCTGATAAATTAAACTCTTCAGAGAAGAATAAATTATGCAGATGATCTGAGATGTATTTAGACTGCAGCTTGCACAGCACCAGGATCCCAACCCTCCCAGTCCCTGAGGATCCTGCTGTCTGTGGAGCCAGAGGGGCCTTGTTCAGACGAGCAGGGAGAGCTCCAGGGAGGCTGTCACTCCTCTTGTTCCTGAATGGCAGCTCTGCCTTTTGCTTGCCTGACTCTCTTCTCGCCCTTGTCCAAATTCCCTGTTTCTCGTTGAGCTTCTTCCCTTCCCGGGACACGAGGCAGCGACTGCAGGCTCCCAGTAACACAGCAGCTGGTCCCCAGTGAGCTCACAAACATGACAGGAGCAGAAATGACAAGTCAGTGGAAGTAAAACTGTCCCCAAGAAGAGCTGGGAAGCATCTGGAGTCTCCTCTCCATCTCAGGAAGGGCACGGGAATGCACAGACAGACATGGGGGGGTTATGCTGTGGCAGATGGGGCACGCACAGATCCCTGGGATCGGGGTTTGCACAGAGGGGACGTGCCCATTTCTGCCTCCTGAGGTCTCCAGGGGCCTGATCCCACAAAGGGACAATGCCACAAGGATTTACTCCAGCAGCTCTGGATGAGAAATGCAGACAAAGCCTTTCCTGGCAATAGGGCACCCACAGTTCCAGGCCCAGGGCTGCAGTGCCATGGGCAGGACACTGTGCAAGACCAAACTCAGCCGCTGGTTTGGCCAAACCACAGCCAAACTGCCACTGTGCCATGGCACTGCCAGGGCCTGTGGGACTCAGGCTGGAGGTGAGCAAGCACTCAAGGTGAGCTCCAGCACAGCCATCGTGTCCCAGCAGGCTCCTGGGATCCTCCTGGCATCCTCCAGGGACCCGAGGAGCAGGAAACCTCAGGAAGGGGTGCAGCCCCCCAGGAGGCAACATCCTGCACCCCCACGCACGCCGGGAGCTGTAGTCCCATTCCAAGGCCAGGAAACATTCCATGAGGCTGCAAGGACACGGCTGAGGCTCCTCGGGGCAGGGGAAGGGCCCTGGGCAGCCCTGCCTGTGACCAGCTGAGGCTCCTGGGGCAGGGGAAGGGCCCTGGGCAGCCCTGCCTGTGACCAGCTTCCGTCAGCATCTGAACAATAGCTGGGGCTGAGTCCTGGCCAGGCCACTGTGCTTCCTGCCATTCTTTGCACTCCCCTGAGCACGTCTATAAAAAGCAGAAGAATCCAGACCTGGAAGTCTAAATCACTCCTTAAATAAGCCAGGAATGCCAGCCTCTCCCAGGGGAGGCAGCTGCAGGGAGGTGGGACCCAGGTCAGGACGTGGCACTCAGTGCTCTGGGCTGGGGGACGAGGTGGGGATGGGGCACAGGGGGGACTCCACGGGCTGGGAGGTTTTTCCCAACCTAAATGACGCTGTGATTCCATAAAAGAGCAACCCAAAGCACCTGCCCCTTCTCAACAACTTGGGCTGGAGCGCAGCACATTGGGGCTGCAGGAGGCTGTTTGTGGAGGCATACACACCCTGCCCAGGTCTGGGGGGCTGGAGGGGGTGGTGTGGGGTCAGGAGGGGGCTGGGGGCAGCCTTGGTTCCCCTTCCCCTCTCTCAGTGTTCCAAGGAGGCAGCCTGGGCTCCCCTCTCCCTCTCTCAGTGTTCCAGGGAGGCAGCCTGGGCTCCCCTCTCCCTCTCTCAGTGTTCCAGGGGGGCAGCCTGGGCTCCCCTCTCCCTCTCTCAGTGTTCCAAGGAGGCAGCCTGGGCTCCCCTCTCCCTCTCTCAGTGTTCCAGGGGGGCAGCCTGGGCTCCCCTTCCCCTCTCTCAGTGTTCCAGGGAGGCAGCCTGGGCTCCCCTTCCCCTCTCTCAGTGTTCCAGGGGGGCAGCCTGGGCTCCCCTCTCCCTCTCTCAGTGTTCCAGGGGGGCAGCCTGGGCTCCCCTTCCCCTCTCACATGTTCCAAGCAGGAAGCCCGGGCTCTTATTCCCTTCTCTCAGTGTTCCAGGGGGACAGACTGGACTCCCCCTTCCCTCTCAAAGTGTTCCAGGGGGGCAACCTGGGCTCCCTTTGCCCTCTCTCCGTGTCCCCACCCAAAGTCACGGTGCAGCCCCCGCCGAGGCCACACAACACCCCAGAGAGCTGCTGTCAGCGAGGGGAGGACGAGCTGCCGCCAGAGAAGGCCTTTCAATATTTAATGATAGAAGAGTCTGCTGATCGACCTCCTTCTCGGGTTTCCAAAGTCCCCCCTCCTCCCCCTCCGCACGGAGCAGGCAGCACCAGCACCCCCTCCCCACGTTTGGGCTGAGCCTTCCTGAGAGACTTCCACAAAGCCAGCGCTGCCTCCCCTTCCCACGCTGCCAACAGGAGCCAAGACACCCGTGAACCAGAGCTTTTGCCTGTTGTCACAGTTACAGCAGCTCAGCTGCCTTCAGGAGTGGGATGGCAATTTACTCTTTGTACTCGTTTTAGCTGCGCGGCCTCCCCCTGCTCCAGCTCTGCCACGGCAGAGGGGATTCCACCCCATGAGGCTGCTGAGCCCCCACTGCACCCCACAGCTCCTGCTCCTCGTGGCCCTGGTGCCGTGGGAAGGGCTGGGCCACCCTATCCCACCTCGGGGCTGGGGATGGAGGCAGGTAGAGGAGGCTGGAGTGGGGCAGGGAGTGCCCTGAGGAAGGGGAGCCCAGGTTGCCCCCCTGGAACATTGAGAGAGGGCAAAGGGAGCCCGGGTTGCCCCCCTGGAACACAGAGAGGGGAAGAGGAACCCAGGCTGCCCCCCTGGAACATGGGAGAGCAGAAGGGAAGCCCCCCTGGAACACTGAAAGAAGGGAAACGGAGTCCAAGCTGCTCCCCCGAACCCTGAGAGGGTGCAAGGGGAGCCCAGGCTGCCCCTCTGGAACACTGAGAGAAGGGAAGGGGAGCCCAGGCTGCTTCCCTGGAATGCTGCAGGAGGGGAAGAGGAGCCCAGGCTGTCCCTCTGGAATGTGGCAAGAGGGGAAAGGGAGCCCAGGCTGCCCCTCTGGAACGTGGCAAGAGAGGAAAGAGAGCCCAGGCTGCCCCTCTGGAACACTGAGAGGGAAAGGGGAGCCCAGGCTGCCCCCCAGCCCCCCAACCACCCCACGATGCCCCCCCCATTGCCATACTCTGCCCAGCACCCCCTGGCACACACGTGCCTGGCCGCTGGCACGTGCGCTTACGCGCTGCCGTGCGGAGGCAGCAGGGGGAATTTTTAGCCGGTGGAAATCTCGACAGAATATTCCGTAGTGGGCTGCTCTCGCGTGTGAATTTGTGTGTGCGTGTCTGTGCGTGTGTTTGTGAGTGTTTGTGAGTGTTTGTGAGTGTTTGTGAGTGTGTCTGTGGGCACCTCCAGAGCACAGCACTGGCCCAAGCGAGCAGCGCGGCACGAAACACGACCCGGTCTGCTCTGCAACATCCATCCCGTAATTCTGACAATGTTAAGAGCACTTAGGTGCTGTAGGGATGTTTAGGTGTTACACACTGAGCAGCAACAACAACACAACAATGGCTATGCCCCATCCCTGGAGCAACCTGGGCTAGTGGACGGTGTCCCTGCCCATGGCAGGGGGTGGAACGAGCTGAGTTTTAAGCTCCCTCCCAACACAAACCATTCAGTTATTATTATTTGAAGAAAAGGCCCTTGTACTATTCTCTGTGCCCCTTTTGCCACACACCAGAGTCAGCACAACCTCCATCAGGGGCTACTGTGCAGGCCCAAAATGCGCCAGCACTTCGCAGGGTATTTAAGTGCAGCTCTAAAAAGAAATTATGGACATTTGTTATGTGTTGTCTCCATTACCCACATGTCACCACAGGGACAGAACGAGAACAGAAGTTTTCAGTGAAGTTCATTAAGTTCTCAGAGGGGAAAGACCCTGTAGTGGGCCCAGGTAGGAGCCATCCCTGCCCCACGCTGCTGCCAGGAAGTGGAACCCCAAACTTCCATCAAGCCCTGCGCTCCAGGCACAGTCCCAACATCCCAAGGTCTCCAGCTCCCACTCTCAGAGCACAGGGTCTCGTGCCACAGCCCAGACACTGTCCCAGAGCAACCCTGGGCAAAGGCCCCTTCCAGGAGCCCCAAGAGAAGAGCAGAGCCCTGCAGGAGGCAGTGCCCAAGTCCTCAGTTACAGCTGTAACCTGACATCAAAGCCTGTGAGGGTCCCTGTCCACAGACACCAAGAAACAGCAGGCACAGCTCCTGCTTAAATCCTGTTTGCTTAAACCCAGGCACAAGCCTGACTTGCACAAGCATCCAGAGGCACTCGTGGGTACCAGCACCTGTGCAGCCAACCCCAAATCTGGAGTCTCCTGCTTCCTAGACCCCGTTTTGGAAGAGCAGGAGAGCGGCACACTCTCACTTCTCCAGCAGTTGCCCAGGGACAAATTTGCAAGCCAAGGCCCAGACACAAGATCACAACCACCCAAATCCCATGCACAGGATTGTCCAGCACATCCCGAGCCCGGAGAACAGCTGGTTATCCGTGACAGCCTGGGTGGAGATAACTCACCACACAACTTGTGCTCGCACACTGAGAGCAAGAGCACAGAGAAAACCAGTGCTGAGCACCGTGCACAGGTCCGTGCAAAGCCCCGAGGGTACATGCACTCAATTATGCACAGGCATACAAGGACCACAAACAGGGAAGTTACAAAAGCAATTCCAGGCCTTCACCAGAAGTCCTCCTGCCTGCCTAAATGTTCTGGACCAGCCTCCATCCGCCCAGGCAGGCTCTGCCTGCTGCTGGAAAGCAGTGCTCCTGTTCCCCGGCAGATCCACCCCACAAACTACGGTCCCTGCTTCCCAGCGTGTGGATGCCGCTGCAAACCACAGCGCGATTCCCAAGCACATCCAGCTCGCTGCAAATCCCAGCCCTTATCCCCCAGAACAGCCTCCGGCTCCAACCACAGCCCTCGCTTCCCAGCCCGGGCACCCCAAGGCACATCACAGCCCCTACTCCCAGCGCAGGCACCCCAGTTCCGACCGCAGCTCCCATCCTGAAGTGCCGACATCCCAACGCAAGCCATGGCCCTCATCCCACAGACACCCCCCCCCCGCAAACCCCCGCTACGGCCCCCCCGCGCCACAGAACACGTGTCCGGCCGCTCTCCAACAGCCCCGTGCTCCAGGGTGGGCACCCCCCCGCCAACAGCGGCCCCAACCCTCCGGAGGGCACTCACGGCCCCCTGCCCGGCACGCCCCCCACTGCCAACCACGGCCCCACGGCCACCCCCACGCCCCCCGGACCCCCGGCACGGCAACCCCCGCCGCTCCATCCCTCCGCCGCGGCACCGGCACCCGAGCCGCCCCCTCCGAGCCACCCTCCCTCCGCTCCTGCGGGTCCCTGCTCCCTGCCTGCCCCGACCCTGACCCGGACCCTCCGCAGGCGTCCAGGCGCGCCCCCCGGGGCAGCGCAGGCTCCCGCTGCCCCGCACCGGGCTGACCCCGCCGCCACGGGCGCCCGGTCCCGCTCCCCGCACCGTCCCCGCTCCCCGCTCCCGGTGCCTCTCGTTACCTGCGGGGCTGCGGGCGGCCCGAGCCACCATCGCCGCGGCGGCCGCCGGCGGCGGGAGCGGTGCGGGAGCGGTGCGGGCAGTGCGGGAGCGGTGCGGGGCGGTGCGGGCGGTGCGGGGCGGTGCGGGGCGGTGCGGGGAGGTGCGGGCAGCGCGGGCGGTGCGGGGCGGGGGCGGCGGGGCCGGGCGGGGAGAGGCGCGCGCGGCGGATCCCCCGCGAGCTCGGCCCCCGCCGCCGGCAGCGGGTGTTAGTTTTAGGAGTTGTCATGGCAACGGGGAGCCCGGTGCGCGCGGAAGGGGCGGGCGGAGCGAAACTTCGGCGGCTCCCCGGCTCCGGCTCCCGCAGCACCGACCGCCGCCCTGGGGGTCCCCGCCCGCGGCCGCGTCCGGGCTGCCCCGGCCCCGCTGCCCCCCGGCATCCCTGGGCCGCCGCTCCCCGGCTCTTCGGCCCCCGCGGGACCCTCTCGGTGCCTTCCAGCACCCTCCGCCCGCCCCGGCCCGTGGAGACGCGCTCCGCACGGGGACGAGTCGTTCGTGGGGGTGGGAGGCAGTGCCGACCCCCGGCGCATCCCGCGTGTTCCGCTCCGTGGCCGCGCGGGCGGGATTTGAGCTCCCAGGGCCGGGCCGGGTGAGCGGGACACCCCCGAGGCAGCGCCGGGCTCCCGCCTCGGGGTCCCGGCACAGCCACAGCCCCTCCGAGCCCCCCCCGGGCCCCCCGAGCCCACCGCAGAGCTCCGGGGACAGCCCAGTCCGCGGCCCGGGGCGAGGTACCTGCACTGCCCCGGCCCCACCGGGGGCACCGGGCGGCCCTTCCGCGGGCGCCCCGGCCCCACGGCCCCGACGGGGAGCGGAGGACCCCTATCCTCGCGCTCTGGGGGCGGCGGGACCCCCCCAGCCCGACCCCGGTGCCGTTACCTGGCGCGGTCCCGCCTGCTCCGCCACCGGCTGCTCCAGCTCCTGGCGCCCGCGGGGCTGGATCCCGCAGGAAACTCCGCGGCCGCCAGCTCAGCCCCTTTCCTGCCAGGAAAGGGACACCCCGGCCCCGCCGCCCCCCCGCCCCGCGTCCTGCCCCGCTGGCCGAGCCGGCGGCCGCGACACGGGGACATCCCGGGGCAGGGCCCGGGAATCGCGTGTGCGGACGGGGCTGCGAGAGTGCGGGTCTGAGGGACTGCGGGGGGGTCGCAGAGGGGCTGCAGGTCCCAAGGAGACTGCAGGAGGGGTTCGGGGGCGGCTGAGGTCACAGGGGGGCTATGGCGTGCCCAGCTCCAGGGTCTGTTCCCACCTCTGGGGTCTGTGCCCAGCTCCGGGGTCTGTGCCCAGCTTCAGGGGCTGTACGATCAGTGCTCAGCTCTGGGATCCGTGACCAAATCCGGGGTCTGTGTGCAGCTCTGGGGTCTGTAAGGTCTGTGCCCAGCTCCGGGGTCTGTGCCCAGCTCCGGGGTCTGTGCCCAGCTTTGGGGTCTGTGCCCAGCTCCGGGGTCTGTGCCCAGCTTTGGGGTCTGTGCCCAGCTCCGGGGTCTGTGCCCAGCTCTGGGGTCTGTGCCCTACTCCAGTTCTGTGCCCAGCTCCAGGCTCTGCACGCATCCGCGGGGCTCAGGATGTGCCTCCACATCCTATCTTGGAGGGCAGGAAACACCTTGCGAGCGCAGAGATTCTCCCTTCCTGTGGGAGCCCCGCGGGCCGGGAGGAAACTCCGCCACGAGGCCGCGAGCGGAGCGGCGGCAGCGCGGCCCGGAGCTGTGCCGGAGGGACAGACGGACAGAGGGACAAACGGCGCCCTGGCCGGGACTCTCGCTGTGGCACAGCCTGCCCTGACCAGGAGTGGATGGGACGGCCTCGGGCATGCCAAGGCAGGGGCTGGGCAGAGCCGGGGGGCACAGGACCAGGGCACAGCGCTGGGACTGCACGGCAGCACCCTTGGCGTGGGAGGGGGGACTCTGCCCTGCCAGTGTAGACACCCTCCCCCATGCCACTGCCCCCCTGGCTGCCTCTGTACCCCCTCTGCCTGTCCCCTGACCCTCCTGGCATGCCCTCATGCCCCCTCCACCTACCCTCTGCCCCCCCTCCGATGCCCCCATACCCCTCCCCCTGCCCTCCCTGCCATACCCCCTTTCCCACCCAGGTTCCCCAATACCCCCTCTGCCTGCCTTCCCTGGCGTGCCCCTGTACCTCCTTTTCCTGCCCACCCTGGATGTCCCTGTACCCCCCTTCCTACCTCCTGCCCCCCTAAGTGCCCCCACACACCTTCCACCTGCCCTCCCTGCATTCCCTCATACCCCCTCCTCTTCCCCTCCATGGCACGTCCCCATACCCCTTTTTCCCTATCCCCCCTGGTGCCCCCACACCCCCTGTGCCCTCCCCACGCCCCGTCCCCACCATCCCTGTCCCCGTGTGTGCCGCAGCAGCACCGGGGCAGCCGCGGGGCAGCCGGGGCCGCGTGTCTGAGCGGGCTCTGCTGGAAGGAGCTCAGGCGTGAGGAGCCACACAGGGCCCCGTGCCCGCCAGCTGCGGGCCCCACGTGCCAGCTCTCCGGAATGCCACGCTTCCCTCCAGGAACAGGCTGCTGGCTCATCCCAGGCAGTGGCTCCGTCCCTGCCTGACGACTGTCCCAGCTGTGGGCAGTGGGAGTTTCCCTCAGGGAGCTGCAGGAGGGATGGATGTGGCCATCCGTGGGACATGTCCACCCATGGGACGTGGCCATCCATGGGACAGCTTTCCAGCATCCCCTGGGACCTGTGTCTGTGGGATGTCTTCCTGCTGCTTTGCAGGTCAGAGGCTTGGAAATGGTGTCCAGGTTTTGTCCGTGCCTTCAGCCTGGTTTTGATCATGAGATGTTTAGTTGTGATTCTTTGGGTATTTTTTATCTCCTGGAGGTAAGCTTCCCAGATTTCCTTCACGAGCCTGGAGGGCCGAGAACTCACTGTTCTCCTAAGGTTGACATGTCCCCCCATTCCATGATTCCAAGTGTTCTCCGAGGAGCAGTTCAGAGCTGGTGCTGTGGTAATGCCAGCGGCCCCACACACGGTGTTGGGAACCAGTCCCAGCTGCACAGGGGGGAAACAGGTCCTGGGGTCACAGAAATGGGACCAGACCCTGCATATGGGGATGGGATGGGTCCATCCCAGCCCTAAGAACCTCTCCTAGGCAAAAGGACACACGGACAGGTCCCGCTGGAGGTGAAGCAACCACGTCCCAAGTGCTCGGCACAGGGAGCAGTTAAACTGTGAGAGATGGGATTCAGTGGGATGGTGCAGGGCAGAACCTCTTCCTTTTGACTAGCAGCCCCTTCCCGTGTCTCCGTGAGCTGTGGTGGGGCAGCCCATTGCTGAGCTCCTTTGGTCGCGGCCCAGGCACGGGCAGCTCCATACATCCAATATATTGGATGTGGCAGCTCCTCCCGAGACCAGCCAAGTGTGAAATGGAGCCGGTATGAGCTGGGAGAGGAGACATCGCTCAGGGGAGAGCAGCCAAAAGTGAGCTCAGCTCAGGGCATCTCTGCAGGAGTGGCACAGACTGTGAGGAACCCTGTGCTGAGGGCACCCAACTGACCCAAAACGGGCACAGCCGAGGGAGGTGGGCACCTCAGAGCCAGGGCAAGGACAAGGAACGGGGAGCCAACCTTCCTTGGGAAGTCCCAGCACAGTGGGCCCATGTTCGTGTCCATGCTTTGGGAGCACAACCCTGAATGGCCACGGGCTGTGCCTGTCCTGGCTCGGAAGAGATCACACAGGGGTGTCACCAGGTGTGCAAGCACCTACGGCACGTCAGGAGGGAGAGACTGGGAGCCCTGGGGATGTGCCAGGCCTGGGAGGGACTGGGAGAGACTGGGAGAGACTGGGAGGCCTGGCAATGTGCCCAGACTGGGAGGGATTGGGGTAGACTGGCTGGCCCAGCACCCAGACAGACAGAGGTGAAGTGGGAGTCCCAGACGGGGGCTCTGCCATGGGCAGGTTGATGTTGGTGCATATTCCTGTGGGATATGGGCTTCCCAGTCTGCAGGGAACAGGGAGCGGGCTCGGCAGGGCTGGGAGGTCCCACCTGGGGCTGGCACAGGGCAGGGACTGCAGACAAGAGCTGTGCCTGTGGAGACCCAGCGTGCAGAACAGAGCCTGCACCACTTCCCTTAAAGGTCAGAGAACAAGTGCAGTGGAAGTGCTGGTGAGTGGGAAGCAGCAGGAAGCTGAGTCTCCCAGGCAGGAGAGCCGAGCCAGGCACAGGCAGGGCCCATCTTGTCCCTCCAGCCTGGCAGCCAGGAGGGTGGCAGAGACCGGGAGGGAGGCAGGGGAAGGGGCAGAGGTGGGGGGCAGCTGGAGCTGCCCTGCTCTGGCAGAGTTTCCTCCCTGGCACGCCGGGACACCCCACAGTGTGGGGGACCAAAGGCAGGAAAGGAGCCAAGGAGACTCCCCATGCGACTGTCCCCTGTCTGTGACATGCATCCCACGGGGAAGGAGCCACATGATGACCTTTGGAGGGAGGGATGTGGCAGGGGAGGTTGCTCCCCCTCTCTGGCACGGTGGGATGTGTGACACGAAGGCAGAGGGGCCAGGCTGAGGCCAGCTGGGGTCACAGCCGGGCTGGCAGTTGCCACAGGGCCGGCAGCGTGCCCAGCACTCCTGGCAGCACAGAGGATTTCGTGCCTGGCTGTGCCAGCTCCTGCAGCCTCCATCCAAGTCCAGTCTCCAGGAATGCCAGCACATGGGCAGGGCGCTTCAGGGCAGGTTTGGAAGAGGCTTTGGCTCTGGCATTGGAGTGAAAACAGAGCTGTGGCTGCCCCATCCCTGGAAGTGTCCAAGGCCAGGTTGGACGGGGCTTGGAGCAACCTGGATGTGTTCGAGTGGAAGATGTCCCTGCTCATGGCAGAGGGTTGGAATTGGATGATTTTTAAGGTCCCCATTTGGCGTCTGCTCAGACCCAGCATCTCTGCCTCTGCTTCAAATCCTACCTGGCTGTTCAAAGAACGAACTGGATGTTTTCCAGGACTCCTCTGTGCCATGTGCATCCCATGCTGTCCCCTTCACAGCCGTTCCTGGACGTTCAGTGCAAAGCTGGTGGCC